ACCTAGAAATTACAATTTGAAATAATAGCGAAACTACACCCTTAATTGGATGAAATTTTCCAGAATTCTTTCTGATCGGATCAAAGAGAATTCAGTTGAAATGCAATCAAAACGATATCCAATTCCGAAAGAAGATAATTTCCAGATAAAATGGTTGTATATCTAGGAGCCTACATGCAATGGTAAAGGCGGGAATGTGCTTGCAAAATACGGAACAATATGCTGTCAAGAGACATCGTTGAGAGTAATTTAAAACAAAATGAAATGGTTTATGGACGACAATAGATTTTCACTCTTCCAACAAGTATGAACAAAGAAAAAAAAAGCATGCAATAAGAGCATGACTGTCCCACATGATTACTATATCCAGACTCCCATAACACTTTTGATGCAATTCATAAGATTTAAGAAAAGGCAATGAAGTATTTTCTTTACCTTTGCAAATAGCCGGCTATTTAGAGAGCTGGGTTAAACTTGATTAAAAAAATATGAATGATTTGATAAGAACACAACATTTTCATATTGAGAAAACTAACAAAAATGTTAATGGATGTCTTAGAGAGACAGTATGACTCTGGCGGGCGACCCAAATCTAATATCAGACACAAATAATCTAACGTCCAAGGGTTCCAATTATAATGTCGACTAGTTGATTCGCACTCTAACCATCAAATAAATTATTTGATATTTTTTTAGCGGATAAACTTCTTTTTCAAGTTTTCAAATCAAAGGCTGTATAACATTCAATATATATGTATCTATACATTCAAAATTCTTAACCATAATCTCAACTCAAAAATGAAAATATCCTTCTTATAACTTTTAAATTCTTTTCCCACAAATCCTATTAAAAAAAAAGGATAAAAATAAAAAAAAAATTAAATTTAAAAAATCACAGAATGTTACAGACTTTTTTTTTTTCTTAAATTTTTTCTTATAATCATCGGCGTATATAACCATCGCACAGGCATTGTGAATTCTATATATAACTATTGGGTGCGCGCGTGTGTGTGTAATGAGTAATACAACAGCCAAAGTGCGTATAATATTAAAGATAAATTTCCAATTTCACTCAGTTATAGTTATTGCTCTTATTATTATCAGTTTCTTGTTTCTTCTGGTTTTAAAAGGCAATATAATATATAGGCCCTGAGCTTACAGGGTAACGCGAAAGTAACTGATGCGTAGAAATTTAAGGAAAAAAAAATAAGAAACGAAATATAGAAACAAAAAAGAAAAAAGGATGAAACCAATACAAAACCAATCTTCCATTTACTCAACATAAAAGTATATACAAGATTTACAGAGTGTTTCACGTAAAACTGCGAATAACATCTTTGATTGTGATTAATTTCAAACAAAAAATTATTTTGGCGGAAGCCTGTTGAAAAAATGGATTCCGAAAACAAAAATGTTAATAATTCCGGAATCTTTCAATTGTATAGAGTAAACATCAGGCACTTGTTTTACAGATAATTGATGGCTCACCCTATATATTAAACATTAAAAACATAAAACAATTACAAAAACAAAATTTAAAATGAAAAAAAAATTATTTTTTTTCTTTCTCATAAGAATTCTTTATTAAAGAAACAATCCACAAGAAAAAATTTTTTCCTCATAAATCCTATATGATAACTTCTAAATTTCTAGGAGAAAACGTGTATAAGGTAACCTATTTCTATATCCACGCATTTTATATGTAAGACATAACCATGTTATACAAAATATCGAAAAAAAAAAATGTTGATACCCAAGGTAAAAGAAACCATTTATAAATTCTTTTCCTGTCCTCTATTTTTCCTCTTTTAACATTAATCAAAGTATATACGTGTATAACATCAAATATATTATTGGTATTCTACAGAAATTTATGTAGCATACATGTATTTATGTCATATTATATAATAGTTATATTTATATATACACTGCTTGTCTTCAAAATTGAAAGAATATAGAAAGTTACACAAGCTATTTTTAGAGATTAAAAAAATTTTCTTGTATTAAAATTGTTTTATTGAATATTACAATAATGTTTGTAAAATAGGCTCAAGAGATGAGAAACTCACAACAATACTCTTGGGTTGATTCTTATGTGAAAAGGGAGAGAATATTATTTCTTGTGTGAGAGGTAAGACATTTGTGATTCTGAAACAAAGTGACAATAAGACAGAAACAAGTAATTTTTTTTTGAAAAATTTTAGATCTTCCCCTGGAAATTCCAGAGGGAAAGCGTTAAAATTTGTCCAAAAATCTATTTTATACATCTTTAATGCTTAGTTAGAAAGATTTCCTCGTAAATTTTATTCGTACTACCGTTAAAATTATTTTCATTCATTCAACTTCTACGGTAAAAATTAAATAGGACACATGGTCTTCTTCAAAATATATAATTTTGGAAACGGCCCAGAAATTATAAGTAAATAAATTGGGTTCCTTAAAAAATTTTTTATAAATTTTTATTGTTATTTGATTCTCTTGCCTTTAAAGTCACAATAAAAGAACATTCAGTTAGGAGAGAACGACTTTTTCTATTGAAAAATTTACGTATTACAATTCCCAAAGTCCTTTAGGAATTTCTAAAGAAATCTACTATTTCTCCATAATTTTCTAAATATGTATACAAGCATGAAATAATAAAAAAAAAATTAAGTAATTGTAAAGATAAATTTAAGGTAAAAGTAATTTTAAATAAGTAGGTACTTTTAAAAAAATAAAGATAAACTTAAAATGAACTAATAAAGTGTATTTTAATAAAATAAAAATTAATTTTGTAGAACACTTAACTGAGTTTATTATATACAATGAATAAGAGAATGAAATAAAATACAAGAGAATTAAGAAAAGTTTTTATTTTACTACAAAAAATACAGTCAGATTTCCATAACAAGAATTACGATAACACGAATCGCACGAAAATTGGTTTGTGTTCGAGAGAATTCGCGTTAATTGAGATATGAAAAAAGTAAATATAAATATGATTACGAAATACAAAACAAAAATCTCCGTATACGAATAGTTTAGCAAATTTTCTCTTATGGGAGTTCATTTTATAGGAGTTGAACTGTAAATAATCTTTTATGTAATAATTAATTTATTATGTATATTTCTAATTTCATTGCAAATTCCGTTTGTGTATAATTCATCCTGACTTGCGCTAGAATGTCGTTTATAAACTCGAAATGCTATACAAAATTATTTGACTAGTATTAAAATAATGCACTCTTTCTTCTAGTCAATTTTCTCAAGTCACTCACAGATGTCGCTAAAATATTTATATTAAAAATTTGACTTTACATAATTAAAATACTTGACGTACGTACTCTTACCTCGTATTTGATCGTACTTTAATTAGTAACGAAATATTTTAGGATTATTTTCCAAACTCAAATTACTTATGAAAATCTAAAATCATTTCAGCAAACTATTTTTCAGAATTCCAGACTTGGAACTTCCAGAATCGACCACTCACGAACACATTAATAGTAATCCAAAAATTGTAAAATTTTTCTTCAATTTTAATCAGATTTTAATTCTAACAAACTTATTCAAAATTCCAAAATCTGTTCAATTCACAATATTCATTTCGTATTGTGCATAAATATACGCAAAGACTCATACAAACACACACACACAAAATATTTGTATTAAAGCAGCGCATTAAAAGGAGATCATTTTTCACAACTATCAATTTTTTTTTATTTTTCTTTTTTTTTTTAATAATAAATTACGTAATTTATAATTCTTCTTAAAAAGAAAAACAAATATAAAAAAAAATTTGGTAAGAAAACTATAGCATCACTAAAATTTTTCAAATTCAAATGAGAAAAATATACGATTAGCATAAGAGCCAGAGAGAGAAAGAGAAATGGGAAGAGAAAACGGTGATTTAAGAAATCAAAAAGAGTTTTAAAAAGAAATAGGGGAGGGGAGAGAAGAGAATGAAAGGAAAACAGAGAACATTTTAAAAAATAATCACAGTCATAAATTTCAAATAAAAATTTTTTACTGTTCTTTTTCACTTTTTTACTATTTTTTTTTTTTCATTTTTTTATTACTAATTTCTTACTTTACCCATTTAGTTTTCTATTTTCCTCGAAATTTTTTCTATAAAAATAATAATCTTATTTACTTATACCTAGGTATGTATGTGTATATTGTAAATACAACGATTATAGACGAAAAGAGTAAATTATATCTCAAAAAAATTTTAATAATAACAAAAATCTTCTTCATTTTCATTTCTTGAGTCATTAGATTTTATTTTTCATTTAAAATAAAATAATTTTTCTCAGTGTTTTTTTTTTAAGATGATCAATCAAAAATCTTCGCAGAATTTTCAAATTTTTTTTTGGAGAGATCTTAATAATACGATAACAAAATTAGAGAGATATTGTTATACAGAAGCATTTTGATAACATAATGAACTGTCATCTTAAAATTATATTGTTATACAGCGGCTAACAGTCCAAAAATTATATACTTTCCACCTTGTGTTCCATAATGCAGTATAGCATATAACTCAGAAATTAAGGTAGTTTAATTTACAAAATGAGAAATATGAAATCATATTGGCAAAAAATTAGCAATTACTTTAAGAATTTAGAGCGAATCCAAGTACATTTAAAAAAAAAAAAAACATCAAATTTTGACACCTTGAATAAGTTGACAATATTTATAAAAAAAATGGGGCTGTCCGGTTTCACAAAACTTTTGACATACATACAAATTATTTTGATTAAGTCAAATTTTGAGCAAAAAATATCAATGACTCTGTTTAGACATGTTTGCATTGATCATACCCACAACATTTACTTATTGTGCTTCTCACACAATAATTCTCGCTCTCTCCAACAAATAAATTTTATTTTTGTCAGACAGAGAGGGGATGTGAGAAGTATAAAAGAAGAGGTGTGAATTCCCTCAATGCATACACGTGTAAACAGACCAATAATCTTAAACAAAGTAAATTTTGAAAAATTCTCAATTACAAATTGTATATGAGTTCATTAACAAAATAATAATTATGTAAAATTTTTAAATTAATTTAAAAAAAAAATTAAATATTAAAGATAAATATAAATAAAATAAATAAATAAAATCAATTAACTTACATGATGATGATGATGATGATGCTGCTGTTGTTGCTGTTGTTGTTGTAATGGTAATTGTTGTTGTTGTTGTTGATAATACAAATGTTGATTTTGTTGTTGTGATTGTTGATGATGATGATGTTGATTATGATTAATATTATTATTATTAATATTATTATTACTGCTATGATGTTGTTGTTGTTGTTGTTGCTGTTGTTGTTTATCATAATCATATTGTTGACTTTCAATGAATTGTTGTTGTTGTTGTTGTAATTGATTATTATTTAATGGTAAATAATGTTGTCCATGTGTATATTGTTCATAAACATGTCTAACATGTTCTTTACGATTAATTGATGGTGAATTATCTTGATGATGATGATGATGTTGGTGTTGTTGTTGCTGATAATGCTGATGATGCTGTTGTTGTTGTTGTTGTTGGTGTTGTTGGTGCAGTTGATGATGATGTTGTTGTTGTTGTTGTTGATGATGTTGCTGCTGTTGATGATGCTGCTGTTGATGATGATGATGATGATGATGATGTTGTGTTGGTGGTGATGGCATATTATGACCAGAATGTGGTAAATGTGATGAATGTTGCATACCAACTTGATGACTATGATGATGTGGTACATGACCTTGTGATGCTTCAACCAATGTTGGTTGTATATGTGTTACAAATTGGGCCATTTTTTTTTCTTTTTAAAATTTGCGTTTTAAATTTTTAATTAAATTTTGTTTTGTTTTTGTATTTTTCTTGAGTCCTTGAGCTTATCTCTTTGATTTTTTGTTTTTCTCTGTGTATTGTTCGTTTTCAATTTTCAATTTTCAATGTTAAAATCCTTGAATCCTTGAGCATATATTATACAGTATAATTTTAATGTTGAACACATAAGATGATCGTACGTGATTAAATGAGGTTTTTTTTTTTTTTTATTTTTTTCGAATAGAAAAAAAAAAATTTTAAAAAACGAATTTCTTTCAGTATTTGCTATTTTTCTCTTTTTTTTCCTTATTTTTTTTATTATGGTTGTTGATTCTTTATTTTCCTTGTCTTTTTCTTAATATTTTTCTATTTTTTTTTTCTGTTCCATATAAAAGATTTACGACTTTCGTTTTTCACAAAACAAAAGAAAAAACTAAAAAAAAAAAATTAATTCACATTTTCCTTTTTTCTCAACGAATTGAAATTTTCTTTTTTCTGGTAAAGAAAACTAAAAAGAGTCCTCTGTCAAGGGCATTGAATTGGTTTTTGTTAAATTTTCGGTTTGAATTGATAATTTCAAATTTTTTCACAAAAATTAAATTTGAAAATTAAAAAATCTTTTTTTCACAATTTGTTCTATTCCTCAAGGACTACTTTTTTAAAAAAAAAACAAAATATCACAAAAAAAAATAAGAGTGAAAACATGAAAAAATTTTTTTTATTTTTAAATCCCAAATGGAAAATGAATTGTTGTTCTTTTTTTGATGGTATTTTTTTTTCGTCTTCTTTCTAATTTTTCTCAATTTTCCCTTTTAAATTTTAAATTTCCATAATTTTTTTTAAATATTCGTTAAAAAAATTGCTTCACTTTAATAGCAAATTTTGTTTTATTTTTTTCTTAATTTTACAAAATTCACCATGCCAACTCATTTAATGTTTTTCGTAGGATTAATTTTTAATCGTTATTTAATTATATTGGATTTCGTATAAAATCAAATACAATCAAATAGTAAAGATTTCTAGCCCCCTCTTCTATATTTAATTCACCTGAATTTTCCCTCTAAATTTTTATTTTTACTATACTTTTTTTTGTTCAATACCCTTAAATAGCCAAGTATTTACCCTTAAATGAGGGCTCGTTTCTAAAACGGAAGTGACAATTATAGTGTAAATTTCAAAAAAAATAAAATTCTAAGATAATTTTCAGTAATTTTTTATAATATTTTTTCGTATTAATTTTTTTTTCGAATATTTTTTACCAAAAAATTATTCACCACATTAATCATACAAGTATAAAATAGAAGCAATTCAAATTTAATTTTTTTAAATTTGCAAACACTTTTGTATATTCGCACAAATTTCTATGATTTCTTCACTTGCTTCTACATATATGTCCTTTCATTTAAAGGTTTTTCGAAATACAAAATAATAAAAATTTCACTAGTAACACACACAAACACAGTGTACATATAGAATTTGAAATTTGAAAGAAAACAAAAAATAAATGAAAAACAAAAATCGAGCGCAGGACTCTAATTAAAAAATATTGTAAAATATTTTAGTAAAAAATCGGGGAGATCGGAACGAACGATGTTAATCTGTTAGGTACCAAAGAAGAACTGATTTTTGTTTTTTTTGCAAAGAAAAATTATTTTGCTGTTATACAAAGCTGCAAATGAAAAAAAAAAATTTTTTTTTTGTTTGTATTTTGTTTTGTTTTTGAAAATATTTGTGTTTTACGTTTTGCTTTTTTTATGTTGTTTTTATGTACACACACATACACACACATTGGTTTATATACAAGGATACAAGGATATTATAATTACATATATTGTGTAGTGTAGTGTATGTATGTAAGTACGAAGAAGAGTAGATATTGAAAAAAGAAAAGCAGACATGGCATTTGTTTTTTGCTTTTTTGTTTTGTTTTTTTGCATTTTTTGATGAGTAAAAATTTCGTAGGAGGTTTTTTTTTTTTGTAGTATAGAGAAAAAAAAGGATAATAACAATAATAAAAAATTTTTGAAAGAAAAATAAAATGAAAAGAATTTTTGTTTTTTGCAAAAAAAAAAAAAACAAAAGAAAAATGAAAAAAGTTTTTCTTTTATTTTCACTTGAACTTTTTTTTGTTTTTGTTCTTTTTTACTTAAAGGATTTTTTTTTTGATATTTAAATGAAAAAAATAACGAAATTTTTGCATATGGTTAAAATGTTGAAAATTTTTTTTATTTGTAAATTTTTTAATACAATTTGTTTGTTTGTTTGTGTTGTTGTTTTTCTCTCAGCATGCATGCCACATTTTTTCTTGTTATTGTAATAATTATTGTGCTTAGAATAAGAAAAACAAATAAGAAAAAAAAATTTTTTTTAATGTCATTTATTTAAAATAGTTTTGGTTTATCATTTTTGTAATTTGTTTTTGTCAAATAAATTCAAAAATAGTTTTTTTTTAGTATTACAAACTTTTTCCTTTACTTAAAAATCAAAATTTTATTTTTAAAAAAATTGCATACTTTTAGGGTTATGAAAATATTTTTTTCATAAAATGTCATAAAATTTATTTATGAGCAAATTTTTTTTTTTTTTAGGAAATATTTAAAAAAAAAAATTTTATATTTTTGAATAAAATTTTAAGAAATAGGTGAATTCAACTTCGGACCGTATAATAAAACGTATAAGATTTGAGCGGGATTATTTTACGAAGATGTGAGACAAGAACTTTGACAACAATTTTATATTCATTGGACTATGTATGCTTTTTAATATTTCTTTAGTCTATTGAAAATTTTTACATATATGTACATTTTATAAAGCATGGCATGTAAAGGCAGTAGGACCAGTAATGTTGAAGAGTCGACAACAAAATTACAAGAATCAAGTATCAATATAAGTAAAGTGAATAAATAAATGGAAAAATACAGGTATAAACGAAGGTAAATTGTATGAATTTGAATTTTATAAACAAAAATTTAGTAAACAATTAAATTCAGAACAAAGTAGAATGCCGACTACGAATGACTTTAGATGTTAGTAGAATTAGAAAAGAAATATTGGGAATATCATTTGGTAATATAGTTTGTGAGTTTAAATTGGCTACATACATAATCACAAGGTGTTTGATAATAATGAAGCCTGTATTGACGTATAATATGGGCATGTGGTATACAATTATCCGGTTTCGTCAAGCAAATACAAATTTTCCAGAATATAGTTGCTTCTTAATATGTTGGATACTCCATGGTATGCACGTACGCAATAGTAACATTCATATGGAGAATTCGGTGTCTCTGAAGTAACTGAAAAACTGCCGTGAAACATATGGTATTATTGAAGTGGGAGCCTCTCGATTTATAGAGAAACAGCCTGAAAGACAATTTCGTCGACTACAAACAATAAATTATAAAAAGCCTTACGTTAGTAAGGCTTTTTATAATTTATTGTTTGTAGTCGACGACTACAACGTCGACTACAAACAATAAATTATAATTTATATTGTTTGTATTAAAAATATATTAATGATAACCATCATTTAACAATCAAATATAATAATTACTTTGTTCTTTATTGATTGCAGTTTAATAAATTTTATTATAGAACGTCATGTATAACAATTAGATTTAACAAAATGCATTCAATTAAATTTTTTATAAGGATAATAATTTGCCTTCAGTATTTCATTGGGCATTTTAATATACTAAATATTATAGAGAATATAGAAAATGTATGGAGGCTGTAAATTGTCATATTGCAAATTAAAATTGAATATCGTTTTTTTTTTTATTGTAATTATTTTAAGACATGACAATTTATATTTGAAATAGTAGATTGTATGTATACACACTATTTATGCTCAATTAAGATAAAATTAATAACAAATATGCAATAATATATTTGTTATACATTTATGTAGTATATCAGTTGTTATACATAAGCAAATAATATGTACGTATGCATTTAGAGTAACATATGAATTTTCTGTATATTAATGCAATTTTACTAATTCCGAATGGGAAATTTTACAAATTAAAAGAAGTTTTACAAAATAATACAAAATTTTCTGAATAAATGAGATTTTAGATTAATTTAGTTTTATATACACAGTGCACTTTTATTACAAAATCTGGCAATAAATGAATTAAGCAAGAATATTGTAGTAAGATAAATACAAATTAAATATAGCACTTGAATGAAATGTACAAGTTAGTAAGAGAGGCACTTTGGACTATAGAATACCTGCAACATTGTTGAAACGTTGGGTCTGATTTGCCGATTCCCACAAAATTACTTAAATTAAAATGGATGGTGAATCTTGAGGGGATATTTTATAGTATAATAGAAATTTTTTCGCCAATAGTCCGGGGGCACAATAAATCTTTACAATTAATGGTGCATTTTCAATTAAAATCTACAATCTATACAATTGTTGAAACGTTCATTCGACACCGTATGTTAAACTCCTAAGTTTTTTATACATGCGTTATATGTACTTACTGTGTACAGTAAAGCAAATTTGTAGTACAAATGCTTAAGCTGACAACACACGTAATGTATTTGAAGCCTACCCTACATAATATGTGCAAAAGCAATTCGTTAAATTTTATTCAGCCACATATACGCAAATTGGTCCAATGATGCCTCATAAATATTCTGAATAGCTTTCTTACTACAACCTTCTAATCTAAGTTCTAATATTAAGACCATAGTATAACATAATCACATAGTAAACTATAATTTTTTCAAATTAAATGAAAATTTCCATTTTATTATTCTTTATTATGTATATAGTATTCCTGTTCCTGTAAATTACAATACCGTGACGTAACGATGACATCATGCAACTAACAATGATTATATTTGAAAAAAATTTATTGCTTAACATAAAACTTGTATACGAAATGGAAGGAACTTTTATACTATATACAAAATAATATAGCGAAACTTATGAATATGAACGTATATACATGTATGTATGAGTGTATAACAAGGAGTACATTTATATTGAAAATTTTTTTTCTATTTGTTTTCAAAATTCATCTTTTCCTGTCTTATACACATATACATACATACGTATAAACTTTAAACAATAATTTAATGTTACTATTAAAATAATTGTTGCAAACTTCCTTTATTATTTGAGTTTCTCTTGGTTCTTGTTCAAAGTGATTCAACACATTAGAATATTTTTTTGATCTTGAGCCAAAATTTTATAATTGTAGTTGTAATAAAAAATTTTAGAATTTTTGTTCGTTTTATTTAATTAGCAGCCAACTAAAACTGGGTTAATTTACCAATCAAACTTTTGAACAGAAAATTATTTTATAATATTTAAGATGTAACTTTTAGTTTTACAACTGTTTGATTGCTTATTTGTATTCCATAGGTACATGTCCATAGGTACATAGGATTGATTATTTGTATTCCATACATACATTCAGCATACATGCAACTGTATGATCGCACAAAAATTAAGTAATCAAACATTAGTTTGTAATTTTCTAAAAATTGATTGCAATTTAGTAATTTCAAATAGTTTATTTGCCCGCTAATGTATGCCCTCAATTAATTTACAATCAAACAATAATTGCAAAACTATAAAAATTGCATATCTGCCATAGCCTTTAAATTCATAATAGTAGAATCAAACATTGCTCAATATTATTATATGTTTGATTCGATAAAAGTTTGATGAGAATTTGAAGTATGAAAGTCAACTGATTATGTTTGACATTAAAGTTTATTCAATAAAAAAATTGGAATGCTACTAAACTATCATCAAATTATTTTTGAAATTAGCGGAAAATAGCGGAAACTAAAATTTTGACCAATTTTTTACTCATTACAGAGGCATAACAGAAATAAGGTGCAAAATATTGAAATTAAATGAAAAATTTGTAATTTATTCTATAAATTGTTAAATATCAGCTGAAATAACCCTTTCCACACTGCAATATAAAGCAATGAACTGTATTTATCTTAATGGAAATTTCTTCATGCAACTGCAGAACAGATGGATGACGTAATCAAAGGAACGAGTTAAAGGCAGAAAAATTCATTAAAAAAATTTTTTCTCCTCGAACTGGACTCGAACCAGTGACCTACCGCTTTCTAGGCGGACGCTCTACCAAATAAGCTACAGAGGCATGAAGAAATTGCCGACGAAATGTTCTCTACATTCATAATTCAATGAACTGTACTTTGTGAGATCATTTGGTTTTTTTTGATCGCTGTTGTCAATTCTATATATGCTAACTTTATTTTACTTAAAATTGAACATTAACCTTTAAAGAAATTTAAAAAAAATCAAAAATATTCCCTCTATACCCACTCCTTTTTCCATTCCATCTGTTATATAAATGAGAGCGATTTATTTTCCTCTTATATTTGTGAGTGTATAGTGTTTTTTAAAGAGACGCGTTTCCCTACTCCCATTCTCTATACTCAAAGTATTTTTTTTATTCTACTTTATTTTGTTTTCTCTTGACTTTTCGTTTTACTATCTTTATACGTGTTTTTTTTCTCATTCTCTGTTTTTTCCATCGGTGTGCAAAACAATTTAAGAAAGCATTATTTCTCATTTATTTCTTAAACATACT